TCACATCAACGCAGCATTCAAGAAAAAGAAATAAAATTTTATTTTGAAATTAAGCGATACATATTACACTCGAAAAAACCAATCCTAAAAGAAAATTTTAACAAGAGGATCATCTACCACTTTGGCCAAAACATCACTCCGGCGAAGTAGCCTCCTATGCAAATCTTCACCCTCTAGCTTGAATAGGCTCACTCAATTTATTTCTTTTCAAGCCCAAAGCATGTGGCACGAATCCTTGACGTCCGACAGTTTCAAATGAAGAGTGATCGCCTCCTCCTCAAACCTCTCAATTTTCTCCACATGTGCCGGCAGCTCGTGCATCTCCTCCTATTGTTGAAACCTAGCCTCCTAGTTGAAGTTCTCAATTTTGTCCACGCGACAAGTGAACGACCTATGGAACAACTGACATCCATCTTTTGCTTCCCCATGGGTCTCATATAAATCGCTAAGCCAGTCAACTCCACCATTTTCACTCCTAGTTGGTGTATGGGTTGTCATTAATGGCATTCTAATATGATCCTGACCAACATTTCTCGAATGTAAGTCATCAACTGGTATCGGTGTGGCTGCATCAATAGATAATGTGAGAAAGGAGAAAAAATTTGAAGCAACAAGCAATACTGAGGCTCCTCATACCATGGTTTCAATCAAATTCAGTTTATGTAATCGACACACCATTCTTACTAGGTGGTAGTAGAGTGCTCCTTGCATCTTGCGCTCCAAATAGTCGTACTTCACTAGAAACTTCCTACATGGTCCATGCAGTCGGTAGGTCTCAAGCCACGATATAAAGCTGAACCGACAGATTAACACTAGGTCAGCTATGCTTACTCATGATAATCGCTTAACTTTTTTTTCCATCGAGAACCATGAAATGAGTCAGACGATCCTACTTTATCCACTTAGTCATATGTTTTCTGCTTCTTGATGATAACACTCTTCTTCCTATTCTTCTCACCTTTCAAACAATATTGTTCCACCTACTGCCCAAAGGCAATGGTCATTATTTCCTTGCTCAGGAGCTGATCAAGCCTATTTATGAGAATCATAGGCACAAAAATCAAAGGAGTTAAATTTTTAAAAATTTGATTGCGAAATAAATGACATCTTTTTTTGTATTTAATTCACTTATTCTTGTCACAACATCACTTTCAAGAAGAAAGAGAATCGGGGAACTAAAACATAAATATTGAGAATGGGGCAGCTTGAATCTCGAGGAGATCCAACGACCTAGAAAGAAGAAAGTACAATAAAGGCCCCACCGAAAAGAGACCAAAAGGGCCCCACTAATTCGATTAGATACAGACATCCAAGAAGAAAGAATGTGAAAAAGAACATCCAAGTCCAGGTTGATCGAACTTGAACAGACATATTAGCACCTGTGCTAACCACCACTGAAAAGCCGAGCAAATGTATCGAGCTAGCTCTCGGCAGATCCAACCTTAGAAAAGAATCTAGTTCCTTGTCATCACCAGCCATCCCTAGGACCCCCTCAAGGTTTATCATCAGAGACCAAGAATTAACAATACAACAAAGCCTCACAATCATCCTAAAGGAAATTTCTCATCAATGAATGAGTTATCTATCGAGTTACGGTGATTTGTCCCTATTCGATGGTCTAGTCTCATTTTGCGGACAAGAGCTCCTCATCCAATAACCAAGGGTTAATAGCCAAAATAAATCAAATGATCGACAAAGTTTATTTGATCGAGTCAGTCTCGTCGACCCAAAGCTAATCAAATTCAGTTGGCCAACTGTGCCAATTCAGTCAGCCCGATCGAACCGACCTTATTAAACCAAGGTCATGCTAGTTCAATCGATCAAATCATATGGCAACTATTTAATAGGCTCTTATATGTAAAATACATAAAATAACATGTAATGGTTCCATTAAAATAAGACAAAATTGTAATATCACATATTATACTCTCGCCTCTATAAATAGAGAGATGATTTTATGAGAAGAGACTAATAAACAAGACGTTTCAATGCTTACTTCTCCCACTGTCCCTTTATCACTCTCATTTCTTATGCTCTACTTTTATAGTGTGATTCATGGACAAATCAAGATTCAACAAGATGATAATCAAATCTTACGCCAACTAAATTGCAAGTTTAGATTGTCAAAAATGCATGCTCTTAAAATCGTAGTCGGAAATCTTTTAGCGTGGTGGAAGGAAAAATATATGGATATCTTTCAAGCATAGGGTGCAAGGACAAAAAAAGAAGGGGGATCGAAAATCTGAATCGCTTCTCTAAGGATGGAAATAGATAAATTAAATAAGGTTGGGATTGTGAGAGATTTTTTAGTTAGTCTCTAGAAATAAATATTTTATTATTATTATTATTTATTATTATTATTATTACTATTATTATTTAAAGATGATAAATGTCAATCCTTAAATCCACAAAAGATGGTGTTAAGATTAAAACTTTAAGAATAATTATTAAATTTTTTATCGATTAAAGTAACAATTATCAAATAATGATATTCAATATTTTGTTGGATTAAGCTTGAGTGCTATTTCGTCTTCCGTTCTCAAACCCTAAAGCCTAATTCTCTCATATATGTAATAATATAATTTTTTAACTGATTTCATCCAACAAAAAAACAAAAAATTTTTGAGCTACTGTCATCCAGCCAAAGAACAAAGGCATCTACGACAGATCCAACCAGAGAAAAAACTCTAGTTCCCCACCATCACCAGTCATCTCATGGAAGCCCCTAAGGTTTATCATAAGTGACCAAGAATTGACAATATAACAAAGCCTTGCAAATATTCTGAAGGAGCTCTCTCATCAATAAATAAGTTATCTATCAAGTTACAGTGATTCACCCCCTGTTCGATGATCTACTCTCATTCTACTGGCGGCAGCTCCTCATCTAAGGATATGGAGTTAATATCCAAACTAAATCAATCGATTGACAAAGTATAGCTGAATGAGTCAGTTCCTCCGGCCCGAAACTAATTAAATTCAATTGATCGGCTTCACCGACTCAGTCACTCTTACCTACCAGGCCTTATCAAGCCAAAGTCATGCCAGCTCAACCGATCAAATCATGGGGCAGCTAAGCAATAGGCTCTCATATGTAAAAAAACCTTAAATATCATGTAATTGCTCAATTCAAATAAGACAGAATTGTAATATCACATATTGTACCCTCTCCTCAATAAATAGGGAGATGATTTTATGAGAAGGGGCTATGGTGTGATTCATGGACAAATCACGATTGAACAAGGAGATAACCAAATCTTACACCAACTAATTTGTAAGTTTAGATTGTCAAAAACGTATGCTCTTAAAATCTTTGTCGAAAATCCTTTTGCGTGGTGGAAGAAAAAAAAATTGGATATCGTTCTAGCACGCTGCAAGGACAAAAAAAGGCGCGTAGAAAGTATCTAGAAACAAATATGTTATTATTATTATTATTATTATTATTATTATTATTATTATTTAAAGATGAGAAAAGTCAATCATTAAAATCACTAAAGACAAAGTTAACCCTAAAACTTTAAGAACAATTATTAATTTTTTTATCAATTAAAGTAACACGTTGCAATAAGCTTGAGTTCAAATTAGTCTTCCGTTTTGTAAAAATCTTGAAATATTTGTCAAGTTCTTACGTCCGATTCTCTCATATCCGTAATAATAATTGTTTTGAACTACAGTCGGCCAGCAAAAGAACAAAATTTTTTTATTAGAATTCTCTCCTCTCTAGGGCTGTCAATTTGGCTCGTTGTTCGCGAATAACTCATATGTAGCCTTGTAGTCAATTAATTTTTTTTAAAATACTACTCATCAAAGATATCTATACAATTGATTAGTAGTATTTCGAGCAAAAACGAGCCGAACACGAACAAACATTTGTTCGCTCGTGTTTGGCTCGAAAAGAAATAAATAAATAAATATACATACACATATAATACATATTCATAAAATTAAATATTATAAGTTGGAATTAATTAATTTTTTTTAAAATAAAAAAATTTATCAAACTTTAAAAAAATAAATCCTATAAATTGTGAGATATAACAAATTATTAATAAATATTATTTATATAAATATTATATATTTATATAATATAAGTTATATATTTAATATAATATAATATATAAGTATAAAATTAAAAAAAAAAACCCTACCTAGCTACTTCTAAGCCACAACCAGCGATTCTTCCGACTCTTCTCCTTCCTCTCAAAATTGTGAAACGTGTTCACCCGCGAGAGCTTAGGGTTTTGTCGTTTGTATTCGCTGCTCTCCTCCTCTTCCGAGTCATCTCCTTCTCCTCTAAAAATTGTGAAAGGGTTTCGACGGCGAGAGGTTAGGGTTTGTTCTTCCTCTTCCTCTTCCGAGACATCATCTTCTTCTGATTCCTCTAATTTCGAGCCGAACTCAAGCCGAACTCGAACCGGAAAATATTATTCAAGCCGAACACGAGCACAGCATTCACGAGCCATTTCGAACAAGAGCCGATTTCAAACACGAGCCGAAAACGAGCCGACCTTAAGCTCGCCAGGCTTGGCTCGTTTACAGCCCTAACCCTCTCATTTAAATAAAAATGAATTTAACACCATCAATCATATTAAAAATATATATATAATGATTTTTTGAACATTTACAAAGAGGTATATAAAAATAATTTTTTATTATTATTACTCGTGTTTAACCTATTATTATAGAAAACATATTAGGTTAGGACTTCGGTTGCATACGAAGTCCAATAAGTAAGCCACACTTGTTAAATGAGCTTCATAAATTTTAGTACCGATCAATCTTAATATATTACGGTGGGTCTTATTAGACTCCCCACAAAGATTACCCGGAATCGGGATGTAATATTTGCTGTTATTATATGCCTATTATGGCTTTATTTGCTATCCTGACGCGAGTTTACAACCTTTCGTCCAAAATCCCGACTTTTTCACTTCAGCGTTTCCATTGTTCAGGAACTTTACCTCTCCCCCACCCAAAAATTCACCATCACAACACTCCCATCAATGGAGGTCGCCACGCTAATACCAAGATCACCGGACATCCACTTCACGAACACCACCTTCTCCCTCAAGCACCGATACCTCTACACCAGCGCTCCGGCAAGCCCAGCACAAGCTTCCCCCATCTGGTCTTATCCAACTCCCAACTCTCCCCACCGCAACGATACCAGCGGCGATGTCTTCGAGTTCCCCTTTTCTCCCATCAGGTTTCACCCGCAAACTGTTCGCCGGAATTCATTCCCCAAAAAATCGTCGAGAGATGGGGGAAGGAAAACGATATCGCTTTCTCCTTTAAAAGACGAAGAGCACCTGACGAAGCCCACGAGCCCGTCGGCTAATCCCGTGAAGTGCGGGTTAAGTGGAAAGTGGCCGAAGCTGAGGGATTTGCTTCTGTTTCGGAGCGCGTCGGAAGGGCGAGTTACTGGAAGAGTAAGCAAAGATCCTCTGAAAAATTACACAGTTTTGCCCTCTGTTTCTGCGGTGAGTTGTGATAGAGCAGGGGAGGATAAGAAGGCGGGAAGCAAGGGAGGAGGAGGGGTGGTTAGAAGAGTACGTCGGCCGGCTGTATCGGCACATGAGAAACATTATACAGCGAAACGAGCGGCGGCGGGAGAGCAGAGGAGGAAAACGCCTCTGCCTTTTCAAAGGCATGGATTGCTTGGTTTGGTTGATTTCAGGCCGGTAATTCGAGGGAAGCATAAGGTGGGTAGTACTTCCTCTAATTCGACAGCGAGATTCTGAATGGAAGGAAGGAAGTTTAGCGTAGCTGATCAAAGTAATCTGTAAGCTATGAAATTTATTTTCGCATGAATATAATATATGAAAAGTTGTTAAAAATACAGATTATATTTATATCGAAATAAATTCATAGTATTCATGTTGATGAAAATAAGAATTTAAATATAATATTTTAAAATTATATTTATGTAAAAGTATATACATTGCAAAAAATATTTTTTATTTTAAAATAATTAATATTAGTGCTATTTTTAATATGATTTAAATGTTCAATAGAAAAATATTAAACAAAATTATGTGTTATGTATACAATTTTTTTCTTAATTTATCTTTTTTATTTTAAAACATATTATTTACAAAAAATATAAATTGACACAGCCAAAATTAAATACCAAATAAATTAAACTGGCTGCCGGCAACAAGTCATTTTATCTTCCTTCCTACGTCTCTCTCCTGGAACCTAATTTCAGAGAAGCCATTGCTGTATCAACCAACCTACCTTTCAAAAGTCATGGGCAACATTGCAACATTAAATGTTATGAAATTATTGAAATAAGGAAATATTAAATCAATGGCACCATTGCAACATTAAAGAATAAATGGTACACAATTCTAAACTGATAGCCCCATGGGTAGACCCAAGTTTAGCAATTGCTCGCAGTGAATCTAGGTATTCTATTTATTAGGGCTACGCAATTTCTCCCTTAATGTTTGGATGCTATGTATGTAAAAGCTTTTTTTTTTTATTTGTCAATGACACCCCCTTTGCCCAACTTACATTAGGACGCCCTGACTAGCACCACGAAGCAGGGAGTGATAGCCAAAACCAGCAGCATCTTTCTTGTACTTGGTTCTCTCGTCATGCTGGAAACCACAAACACATGTCGAGTCAATGACATTAGTCACACCACGGATGTGTGCCAACCTTTGACCCTCTCTCCCATTCTCTCCTGAAGCCAACGCTTGTCGAGCCGCCTATGCCAATCACATCACGAACATCAGTCGCCGTCTTTGGCCCTCTCTACCGCTGTCTCCTCATATCGAACACCAAACAACTGTTTATTTTGTAAGCTTTATCATTTCGGATGTTTAGTGATGTACAACCTCGACGCCCTTGGTGTCAAGCGCTAGAAATTTTACTTTTTTTTTTAATAAAATTGAGCCTTCTTCCTTCATGGAATTTTTGAGTTCTGACTTGCTCTTTAGACTTTGCCTGTCATTAGAAGTTTGCATGTTTTGTCTATAAAAGAAAAGAAAGAAAGCCCAAAATTAGGTTCAAAACTATTTCATTTTAATAGAGAACTTCTTACAGTTTCTCAATTTGCAATATTTGGTTTTCTGAGTGCAGTTTTTCAGATTTTTAAAAATCTGTAGCATTTAACAGTTAAGAGAAATGGTTGCAACCAAGCACTAGCCCTCAATCAATTTTCTGTGGAGTTATTTTGCCTGGAGGAAGTGGATTTAACAAGGAATCATAGCTTTTGGATATGAAAATATATTACAGTGAAGCTGTTTTGCAGTAGTCAGGTATAGAGTTCCTGGGAAAACTGAGAGTATTTTGGTTTTATACTTCAATTGCTTTAGACATAATTGTGGTAATGTTATACCTAGAAAAAGCTTTGAGTGAATTCAGCTTTCACAAAATCTACTGATATCAAAAGCCTTGAGATGGAAGTTGTAGAGAAATCCTATGAGAAAAATATGAATTTATCAAATTGGTGGACTCTTAAATAAGCAAACCTAATTCAAATAACATTTAAAGGTGATTCATTTACATATTCAAAATCCTTGTAATAAACTTTTGATTAGTGTGAGTTTCTTTAGTATTCAAAAGATTATAATCGTCGGTCCATGAAAATTTTAAGAGGACATGCTTCGGCTTGAGCAATAAGATCGAGAAATTCCAAGAAAAAATTCAATGCTTATAAGAATAGCTCAGTAAGCTAGAGGGGTAGCCTAAAGATTGAAAATTTTCCTACAAAAAAAAATTTAATGAATCTAGCATCTCGAAAAATCTATCCTCAAGATTCACGATTATAATAATTATACCATGGACTACGAAAGATATATCGAACTATTGATTCGGAGGAAAATAAGAAGAAGAAGCATAGTTGTTTGAGAGTTCTCAAAGGGTGACGAAAGAGGAGATTTACACGTATAGTATTAGCACACTTCTTATAAACATTACATAACATAATATTTACTAGGTTATATATTTGAGATAGTCATTATATGATGCTCATGTATGAAATTGTTTTAGAAAAAAGGTCATCTATATATATATA